TTTAGCTTCAGCTGATCTCTCTAACACCAGCTTTGGACTTTCAACTCAGCGAGTGTTTAAAATACGCAGCTTTAATGCTCACGCAGGTTTGTCATTTTCCTGATGTCCTGTTATTTCAAAGAAAAGAGGAAAATCAACAACTTGTGCGATCCCCTCCAGTGCTGAATTAGTTTTTCTGAGCACGACAGGCAAAAAACACCTTTTATTACAATTCATATGTAAAAATATTTTGTTCAGTTAACCCAAAAATATTATTTTTATACAAGGTTTTTGTCGTCTGAGAGCACCATGGTTAGCGCACTGCTTCGACTGTACATTGCACTGACTGCTAAGCTCTTATTTTCCTATCTGATGATTGGTTACGACCTTCCCGGCAAACCGAATAAATAAAGCGCTTCACCCTACTGCGGCGAGATACGAGGACAGTATGCGTGCGAACACCTTTGGCAGTGAACATGAAGCTGCTCAGAAAGACTCGGAGACATTCACAAACACATCATCTCACGTCTGACCCGCCCTAATCCTACGGCTTTAGCCTGAAGTTACCGACCTGCTGCCTCGACGACGGCTGAAGGTCAATTTCTACCTTCGATCATGTGATCGTTCATCAGCCCGCTAATTAAAACGTCAGCCTGTGATAGCCGACCTCTTCGCCCAAACTCTGATGAACTAATTAAAAGCTGATGACCTAATTAAACCCCCCAAAACTTTATATCACAGCTTCCCTTTGCTGAGATCACACCGGCGGTCATACGAGACGGTAAACTCTGTTACCATCAGTCATTTAGCCGACCTTGTTGAGGAGAATTAGTGGCTATTGAGCTCTTTCCAGTGGGACGTTTGTTTCCCAGAGATTAGCGGCACAGCGTGACAGAAATACAGTTGCAGATATACCGAGGCTGTAAACTAAAGCTTTGAAAAGAATGAGAAATAAATAAAAGTGCTGGACAGTAGCAGCAGCACTGTATCTGAATTTATATATTTTTAAATGTGAGGTGAGATGAAAGTTACAAATGAAACAAAAACGAAAACTGAAGGCTTCCCGTGGATGATTTTGGCTTCTCAGGAGCCTCGTCGTTAAACCGCTCTTAAAGAAAAACCACAACACTCCAACTCGTGTTCCTCAGCACGACTAAACTACATGTTAATCTGACCAAGGCTCCTTCTTCGAGGAGCTCCTCCTCATCTCCGATGTCCTTTCAGCTTCTTGTTCCTCGCAGGGGTTTTGATTGGCTGACTGGCGGCTCCGTTTTCCTTCGGCGCGGGAACCGGAGCTGCCGCTGTCGGTGGCGACATCGGAGAGAAAGGGTCTGGCTCTCCGTCGATGCTGGACTTGAACGTCCCAGCGGGGGAAAATTTTAAAGGACTGAAAGAAAAAAATAATAATGGTGAAGTTATTATAAACATGAGAGCGAGAAGGATAAACAAGCTTATTTTGGATGATCTCCCAAAGTTTGCAAGAATTCATTCCTCTAATTCTTCCCAGTGGGAGGATTTGGACACTTCTGAGCTTGACTGCAGCTCTCACACTGTCCGACTCTTACCCTGTAATCTTGTAATTTCAGTGTCAGTGGCACTGTACTTCACTTTCTCTCATGTCAGTTCACAGCTGCCCATCTTGGCTAGGACAACAGAGACTCTTACTTTCCTGGTTTAAAAAGTTCCCAGGGGCCAGTGCTGGCCTACCAAAGGATCCGATAATACAACCCAAATGTTTC